TGCATCTGCGTGCGGAGGGACTGGTCAAGCACCTTGAACGACCGCCTGGCGTCCAACCTCGAAGACGAGGCGGCAAAGGGGTGGAAGGCCAGGAGGGCTCCTCCTCCTCCTCCTCCTCCTCCTCCTCCATGCCTTGCTTTCAAAATGAATAGCTCCGCCCTGCCGCACCCCCAAATGTGTCAGTAGGGCGGTCTGGGCGTTTCGCCTCAGCCTCCCTCGCGATTTGTGCTGCTGGAACTGAAAATCTGTAACACCTTCGCGGGCGACAGCCCAGCCGGCCGGCTTTCAAGCTGTGGCTCTCGCATTGGCGCTGCCCACATTCGTTTTCCAAGCTTGCGGCCGCTTCATGGATGGAGGGCGGGCCCTGTTCAAAGTGTGGCTCTTGCCCTGGCGCCGCGCGCACTCGTCTTGGAAGTTTGCGGCAGCTTCAAGGGTTCGTATGGCTGCAATCCAGGAATGGTGTTCGGGCACGGTGTCGGATTGTCAGGACTCGGCAGTCACGTTGGTTCACGGTGGTGAAGTCACATGAAGGGTGTTCTGGCACGCTTCAGGATCGTCAGGACTCAACAGTCACGTTGACTCGCGGCACGGAAGTCCCAGGAATTGTGTGTCGGCAAGATTGAGGACTCTGAGACGGTTGTCTTCCACTGGGGCGCTTCCCGCAGTGAGCATGGTTCTTGTAGGGGCCATGAAGAGGGAACTTGAAGGGAGGGTTTACCTCCGAACGTTGATGCGTCTTGGGTTTGCATTGGTCCTCGATGATGATGATGATGACCATGATGCTGACCATCGTCGTCATCGTCATCACCATCGCCATCGCCATCATCATAAACAGCATCATCATGATCATGATCGCCATCATCTGAATGCACACCATCACCATCATCTGCATCATAATCGTCATCGTCATCGTCACCATCATCATATCCTCATCAACATCATGAACATAATCATGATCATGATCATGACCACGCTCATTATCATCACAACCACCATCATCACCACCACCAACAGCATAATGATACTCATTATCATCGTTATCAAACTCATCATCACCACCACCACCACCACCACCATCATCATCATCATCATCATCATCATCATCATCATCATCATCATCGGCATAATCATCATCGTCGTCGTAATCATCATAACAATCCCCACTATCATCATCGCCATCGTCATCGTCATCCCCACCACCATCATCATCATCATCATCATCATCATCAGCAGCATCATCATCATCATCATCATCATCATCATCATCGTCATTGACATCGTCATCGCAATCGCCATCGTCGTCATCGTCATCACCATCATCCTCATCATCACCACCACCATTATCATCACCATCATCATGTTCATCATCGCTTTCATCATCAACACCATCATCACCACCACCACCATCACCACCCTCCTCCTCCTCCTCCTCCTCCTCCTCCTCCTCCTCCTCCTCCTCCTCATCATCATCATCATCATCGGCATGATCATCATCGTCCTCGTCGTCGTAATCATCATAACAATCCCCACTATCATCATCGCCATCGTCATCGTCATCCCCACCACCATCATCATCATCATCATCATCATCATCAGCATCATCATCATCATCATCATCGTCATTGACATCGTCATCGCAATCGCCATCGTCGTCATCGTCATCACCATCATCCTCATCACCACCACCATTATCATCACCATCATCATGTTCATCATCGCTTTCATCATCAACACCATCATCACCACCACCACCATCACCACCCTCCTCCTCCTCCTCCTCCTCATCATCATCGTCATCATCATCATCATCATCGGCATTATCATCATCATCGTCGTCGTCGTAATCATCATAACAATCCCCACTATCATCATCGCCATCGTCATCGTCATCCCCACCACCATCATCATCATCATCTTCATCATCATCATCATCAGCATCATCATCATCATCATCATCGTCATTGACATCGTCATCGCAATCGCCATCGTCGTCATCGTCATCACCATCATCCTCATCATCACCACCACCATTATCATCACCATCATCATGTTCATCATCGCTTTCATCATCAACACCATCATCACCACCACCACCATCACCACCCTCCTCCTCCTCCTCCTCCTCCTCCTCCTCCTCCTCCTCATCATCATCATCATCATCATCGCCTTCTTTATGGGGTGAGAATGACGTGTTGCCTCTGGGACTGCAAGCTGCGTCTGCCGGAGGGATAATGTCCTGGCGTGCCCACGAGCAAGCTGGCCGTGACGACCGTGACGCAGCTGAAGGTAGGGAGGGACTCTTCTTCGAAGGCTGCTCTCGGGAGGAGCTTCCCGCCGCGATGAGTTCAATCCCCGGCAGAAGGGTGTAATCCCCGGCAGAAGGGTTCAATCCCTGGAAGCAAGTTCAACTCCTGGCAGGAGGGTTCAATCCCCGGCATCTACTCTAGATGCATGTCAAATGCAAAGGAAACTCTTGACCTCAGAATGCTCATGCGAGTCCTTCGCCGAGGCCGTACTGAGGCTGCGGTTACCGCTCCCTCTCGCCCTTGGCCCCCCTTTTCTCTTTTCGTGTTCGCTGGCTCCTTCGCCCGCCACCATGGTCGTCCATCTGGAGGGGCAAGGTTGCGCAGGGATCGACAGGATCGACAGGAGGAGGAGACGAGCGAGGGAAGGGGGGAAAAGAAGGGGGCCTTGTCTTCTCCTTCCACTCGTCGGCCAGCCCGACGCCCCAGTCCAGCACGGACTGCGCGCGGGCGTCTGGCGGCCGCGCGCGCGCGAGGGAAAGGGATCGGGGGAGCGCGGGCGTGGGGGCGACGGCCGCGGATCCCGAGGAGGATGAGGGGGCGGTACAGCGTCGAAAAGGGCGGGCGGAGCGTCGAAAAAGGGAGGGCGGCCGGTACAGGATCCCGAGGAGGATGAGGAGGGCATCGGAGAGGTCTGGGGGCCGCATCGGGGGCCGAGGGTGGGGAAGGGCGGCCGCCAACAGTTGGAAACGGGGGGGGGGTGCGAGGCGGGGGTTTCTCCATATCCACCGCCGGCGAACCGACGTCCTGGTGTCCCAGCGGGCGGTGGATGTGGATATATTTCGGCCTCCGGGGGCCCGAAAATATCCACCGCCTGCCGAGGCTCCGAGAACTGACCCCCCAGGCGGTGGTCATGTGTAAATTCCCGCCTCGGAGGGGGGGGGCGTCCCATCTGGGGAGCCGCGGAAGAGTTCAGGATCGAGGAGGACCGACCCTCCGATCCGGGCGGCGCAGCGAAACATCTAGAAGAGGAGCTTTTTTTTTGTCCCCAAGGGGCCGAACCATGTTTGTTTAAACCTACGTGCTTGAGGAGGCAGCTGCCCTAGCAGCTTCCTCTCTGGCCAGCACACGCTGGCTGATCGCACGCATCCCGTCCGTCTGGATGAGGCCTGTCATCGCAGGCTGGTGCAGCGTGACCTCCTCGGGCGGGGGTAACGCGGCAGCGTAACAAAGATTGGCAACTCCTCTCCGAGAAGTTGTCGAAACCTCAGCCTGCACATTGGCTTGAGGGAAAAGACCGTCGTAGATGCGTCTTAAACTCGTGGCACCTCCAGCAAGCTTTCGTTGCTGGCACTCTCGTCCTAAGAGTCTGCATCTGCGGGTGGAATAGGCCCCGCAGACAGTACAGAAAAACAAAACCTTCTGCTCCGTCCCTCGAACAACCGTACAGTGTGCGAGGGTGTGGCCAAGAGACATGTCGAGTGTTCGCTTGAAGGTCCTACTCATGCCTTTACAGCCTATCATGGGTCTGGAGTCCTGGTCTCTAGCGAGGGTTAAACATCTGAGGCATCGCGCACGGTCATTACCTAACTCTTGCCACGCGTGCCAACCTCCAGATTTCAAAAACTTGGCCCTCGGACCTGAACTCGTAACACGATCAAACTTCTCTACAGGAAAACCTGATAAGACTTTACCCATAACACGGGCAATTGTCTTTAACTGACTAAGCCTGCACTCAACCTCATTTTCTTCAGCGGAGGAGGGTTGGGGATGGTCGAGGAGAGCTCTCTTGGCCTGGGCATCTGCATACCAGCTTCCCAGCGCGATTCTCTTCTCTCCCGCGGGAAGCTCGTCAATCTTGGCCAGCGCGCGATGTGCTGGAGTGAAATGAAATTGCGGCTGGTGTCCAGCTCGCTCGTGCAAAAGGGATCCACGTCTTAGGCCAGCATAGCGGTGCTTCCTCGAGCACTGGTTGACCGCGGGCGACGTGCACATCTTGATTACCGTCATGCTATCCCCGTACCTGTCCCCCCCGTAGTCCTGGAACATGGGGAGGAGGGCCATCGCCTGCTGTTCAGCAGCTTGGGAGGTCTGGGGGAGGGTGTCAAGAACAGTACCTTGGGCAGTGGCAACTCTCTTATCATTCTCGGGGCCCAGGAAGACCCACGAATAGGCGGCCCTCGAAAGCTCACGAATCGGGTGTCGAAGCGCCGAGCCATCAACACAGACATCGAGCCCCCGAAGGTCAATCGAATCCCAAGGAACCTCCTTACCTTCCCCGTCGAAGAGGGTGGGGTTCGGGTTCGTCGAGGGGGGGGGCCAGGTACTTTCGGGGTGCTCCCATTTCATTTCATCGAAAAACTTCCTATCTTCGCCGTCCAAAGCCTCAGCATACCAGACGGGAAGCTCGTCGCCTAGTGCTTCAGCTCGTGCCTTGGCAGCATCGGGGTGAAGGCACCTCCATGCTCGATGCCGAACACTATCGGGAAGGCCGCAAAGAGGGCAATCTCCTGCAGTGCTATAACCACATGCGCGAGCCCTTGCTCGCGTCCAAACTCCTTGGCAGACAACTGTGAGTGCCAGGTATTTTTCTCGTTGAGAGAGTCCTTTCCCCCTGGGTCCCAACAGCTTTTTCAAGGGTTCAACACAGACTCGGGTCCCTTGGAACCCCTCAGTGCTCTCGGCTAGCGCTCTCTCGTGGGATCTCTGAGTAGCCAAATCCAACAAAAACGAAAGCATGGAGGGAGAGGTGTAGGCCAAACAAATCTCACGATTATAGTCATCTCGAAACGTCAAAGCCGAGGCGGAAGTCCATCCAATCCTGTGCAGGCTAAGGTGCATCCTCTGAAGGGGTCCACGAGAGTTATTCCACGTGGTGCTATCATCGAAAGGGACATCTCGCCAGAAACCGCACAGGTCTTTCACAGTGTGAAAGGAAGACTCAGGACTAGTGATGGCCGTCCAAACAACAGCAGCCCACTGGAGCACAGGGGCAACAGCAGGTCTCATCTAGAAGAGGAGCAAACGGCATGAACACAAACTTTTGGCGCTTCGCGCGGATTTCTTGAATCTGCGCTGGCCCCCCCTCCCTGGCGCGCGGAGCGGCGCCGGAGCCGCCGCCGGGGGGGGGAGCCAGCGCGGATCCAAGAAATCCGCGCGGAGCGCCAAACGTTTCTGTTTGTGCGGCTTTTTCTTCTCCGCACATCGCGACGGCCGAATGTTCGACGCGGATCCAAGAAGCCCGCGCGGAGCGCCAACAATTTGTGTTTATGCGGTTCCTTCTTCTCCGGACATCGTGACTCGGGCGTTGGCAGAACTGGGTTTAGTGGAACCTGGTTTAGTGATTTGTACCGGGGGCGCCCCCCCGTCCCATTTCCACCAACCGGAATTGGCGCCACCCGAAAAACACCAGCTATGGCAAACCTGGTTTCGGGAATCTGGCCACTTGAGGGGCCCCAGGGCCCTACCACTAACCGGGTCCCCTTACCCGGGGTCCTGGCTATACCCGAGTGACGGCCAGATGTTCGACGCGTTTTCGCTTTCCTTTTGACGCGTGGAGCGGCTTGGAGGCCGCTCCGCGTGCCTGGGGGCGCCTCGGGGGGCTGGTCGGGTGAGGCAGCTCTCCCGACCATGGGAGCGCGCGGCCGACTTGCCGTTGAAAGATCTCCGTCCTTCTCCTCCTTCATCGCGGGCCTCTCCTCCTTCATCGGGTGGCCCTGGGCAGGAGCGGCCCCTGGGTGTGCGGCCTGCCAGCCGCTGCCTCTTCGGCGCGGCAACGGCGGCCCTCCCGCGCCCCCCAGGGAGCCGCACGCCTCGGGGTCCCTTCGGCGAGCCGCCGCTCCTGCGCGTGCTCGCTTCTCGGCCTCTGGAGTCGCTTCGGCGAGCCGCCGCTCCTGCGCGTGCTCGGCTCTCGGCCTCGAGGTCACTTCGGCGAGCCGCCACTCTTGCGCGTGCTCGCTTCTCGGCCAGCGAGGCCTGGGCCACCGAGGTCCGATGGGGCATGGACGCCGCAATCTTGGAGCCCCTGCCGGATCATATGCCGGCTGTCGCCCGCTCCCGGCCTGCAGCCCACAACATGATAGCTAACCCGCCAGGGCAAGTCCGCGGGCCCTCGCGAGGCACCCAGAAGGCAGCCAAGGGGCCTCGAAGGAACCCCCAACGGCACCCAGATAGCATCCAGAAGGGCTTCTACCCTCGCCCCTGGCGCGTTGGCGGGACGGCTGAAGGCCACTGCATAATCCGCCGCCCCCTTCGCTTGCCCCTGCGCTGCGCCTGGCGTGCTCGACTGGAAGTGTGCGCCAGCGTGGGCTCCAGACAAGGGTCTTATGCAGCCTATGCGCTGCCGTCAGGGTGGGTGCAGTCCATGTGGTGCAGCCGAGGTGGTGCAATCCATGGTGCAACATACGTGGCGCAGGGCAGTGCAAAACAACGCGGCGCAAGTGGCGGCGATGGACGGCGGCGACGGGCGGTGACGGACGGCGGCGGCGGGCGGCCACAAGCTGGCCGGGGCGGCACTGGGGCCCAATTACGGCGGCGACGGACGGCGGCGATGGGCGGCCACAAGCCGGCCTGGGCGGCACCGTGGCCCAGTTGCCCGAGAAACAAGGTAAGAACCCCTAAGTGCAAGCACTGTTTAGGGCATCTTTCTTGCGCCTTCAGAGCGGCCCGGCGCGCCAAACACCCAGATGTCCGCGCCACGCCCGCAGAAGCCCTTCGTGCAAAGGCCACCTCCCAAGACGGCCACGACGGCGCAAGATGGCTCCCAAGATGGCCTCCGACACGGCTAAGGACGGTCACAGCTGGCATCCAAGATAGTCCGAAGATGCCGCGAAGCTGGTTCCAAGACGGCCCTCAATGGCTACAACGCAGCCCAACACCGGCTCAAGACGGCCTCTGTGGTCTCAAAGAGGCCCGAAGAGGCCGCCAATAGGACCCCCAAATGTTGCGAAGAAGCCCACGCAAACATTCGTTCTCGCCCGCAGTTTTAGCACCTTTCGTGTTCTCGCCTTTTCGGGCTTCGACAGCCCAATGCTGGCCAAGAGACCCCCACCTCTGTTCCCCCAATGGCTTCCCCAACGACTGAGGCACGGCGCACTCCACCAGCATGGCTGAAGTTCTGGCCGCCACTCCACCGCACGGGCGCCTCCAGCGGCAGCCGTCTTCGTTACGAACGGGCAAGCGAAGAAACCAACAGCAAAGCAGAGCCGCAAACTTTCGGAGGCCCGCGCGGACTTCTCGGGCCAGGGGGTCCAGCGCCAGCCCAAGACGCCGGCGCGGACCTCCGAGTGTTTGTGCCCTCTTGCCTCCTTGACAGAAGCAAGCCCTGGACCCCGGGGATTTCAGAATCACTTCTTCCTCCCTGTGGACGCCCGAAATGGGTACGGAAAGAATGGGTACAATGCCCAAAACAAATGTTGCCCCAAGCCAACAGCGGCCGCTGTTGGGCAGGCGGCCTTCTGTCTCGAATGGACACAGGCCGCGGCGGCGTGGCCAGCGAGTCCTGTTCAAAATGAACAAGGTCCGCTGTTGGGCATTGTACCCATTCTTTCCGTGCCCATTTCGTTCGTGTAGATTGAAGGGGAACTGGGACACACAAAGAAATACGCACAAATCAAAATATCCCCCATATTTTCCCATATTTTCTGTTTTTTTGTTTCCCTCCCCCACTTCCCATATTTTCCCAGATCTTCTGGGAATCGCAAATTAATTGTGTCTGTGTGTTTTTTCCCGTCCTGATAGATCCTCCCGTGCTGCTTTCTTCCCTCGGCCCCAGGACCCGGGGAGGGCCCCGAGGGCCCGAACGCCGGAGACTCTGCCAGGGGGACGGCGGAAGGACTTCGGGACCAGTCCCCCCCTCAACGCGTTGGGCCCCGGGTGCACGCTCTCGGCACGAGCCGGGCGCCCCCATGGGAGCGGAGCGCGCTCTCGGCGAGGCGCAGCTGCAGGAAGGCCTCCCCGGGGCCCGAGAGCGGAATCGCGCCGACGCCGAGGAGCGAGCGCCCCCCCGCCCCCCCCGCAAGGGACGCGGCCGGCGCGGGCCGAAGAGCGCCGGGCGGCCGCGCCGCGCGCCTACGAGGCCCCAGGCGGCGGCCTCCGAGCGGCCTCCCTCCTCGGGGGGGGGGGGGGGGGGCCGGCTCTCCGAGCGGAGGGCGCAGAGCGAGGGTGGCATCGGCTCCCCTTCTCCTCCGGGAGCCCTCCTCCCCTCCTCCCCACCGTCACTCGTCTCCGAGGGCCCTCTCCTCCAGGAGCCCTCGTCATCGTGACTCATCGCCGAGGGCCGTGTCACTGTCATCGTCATTCCTTTCCTCCTCTCCCCCTCGCCTTCGAGAGCCCCACCCCTCGCCATCCCTGTTCCCCTCCCCTCCTCCCTCTTTTCGGGGAGCCAGGGTATACAGCGGCCGGCAGGCCGCCCAGGGCAGCCCTGGGGCCAGCGCAGCTTCGCCGACAGGACGCGCGGGAGGCGGCTCGGGGCGCGGGGGGAGCTGGAGGCCGGCAGCGGCCGCGGCCAAAAGCCCCCCGCGTCGTCTGCTGCCACCTTCGGCGCCGTGCCCGGCTGGAACCGTCGGCCGCGGGGGCGGAGAAACCGTTAGGTCGGGCATGTCCCCCTTCAGGCCGATTTTGGACGGAAGATAAACAAACAAAAAAACACCCAAACAATATTGGAAACATGTTCACAAATATTAAAAAGGATCGCCCCCTGACTATGTTTTACCTATATTTGAGAATTCCTCCTGTGGAGGGGCACGCCCGACTTAAAAGGAACCAGGAGCGGCCGGGGCGGACCTGGAGGAACGGAGGCAGGAGGAGAGGAGCAACGAGCGGCGCACGTGCAAGCTTCGGAAGGCCCGCGCGGAACTCTTGGGTCGGCGGTGCGCCCCCCGCCTCCCCCCCGCCCCGCCCCGCCCTGCCCCACCCGCCCTCCCCCCCCCCACACACACGCACACACGCACACACGCGCACACGCACACACGCACACACACACACACACGCATGCACGCATGCACGCACACACGCACACACACACACGCAAGCGCATACACACACGCACAAGCGCATACACACACGCACGGACACACACGCACGCACGGACGCACACACACACACAACACACGCACACACACAACACCACCCCACGCACCCACCCCCACACACACACACACGCACGCACGCACGCACGCACCGCACGCACACACACACACACACACCCGGGACGCACGCATGCACGCACGCAAGCACGCACGCACGCACGCACTTAGCCCGCACGCACGCAGCACGCACACACGCACGCACACGCACGCACGGCACGCACGCCACACCCACGCACGCACGCACGCACACACAACACCACTCACACACCCACGCACGGCCCACACGCACTCACCGAACACGACGCACGCACGCACGCACTGCAACGCACGCACGCACACACCACACACCCACACACACACACACACACGCACGCACGCACGCACGCACGCACGCACACACACACACACCACACACACCACACACACAACACACACACACAACACACGCACACGCGCACGCGCACGCGCACGCGCACGCGCACACGCGCACGCACACGCACACGCACACGCACACGCACAACACGCACACACACACAAGCACACACGCGCAAGCACACGCACACGCGCACGCGCACGCGCACGCGCGCACACGCACGCGCACACGCGCACACGCGCACGCGCACGCGCACGCGCACGCACGCACGCGCACGCGCACGCGCACGCGCACGCGCACGCGCACGCGCACGCGCACGCGCACGCGCACACGCGCACGCGCACGCGCACGCGCACGCGCACGCGCGCACACGCACACGCGCACGCGCAGGCGCACGCGCACACGCGCGCACGCGCACACGCGCAAACGCGCACACGCGCACACGCGCACACGCGCACACGCGCACACGCGCACACGCGCACACGCGCACACGCGCACACGCGCACACGCGCACACGCGCACACGCGCACACGCGCACACGCGCACACGCGCACACGCGCACACGCACTCACGCGCACACGGCACACGCACTCACGCGCACACGCGCACACGCGCACACGCGCACACGCGCACACGCGCACACGCGCACACGCGCACACGCGCACACGCGCACACACACACACACGCACGCACGCACGCACGCACGGCACACACGCAACGCACGCACGCACACACACACACACACCCAGGGACGCACGCATGCACGCACGCAAGCACGCACGCACGCACGCACGTACGCACGCACGCACGCACACACGCACGCACTCACGCACGCACGCACGCACGCACACCCACGCACGCGCGCACACGCGCACACGCGCACACGCGCACACGCGCACACGCGCACACGCGCACGCGCGCACACGCGCACACGCGCACATGCACACACGCACACACGCACACACGCACACGCGTATACGCGCACACGCGCATACACGCGCACAGGCACACACGCACACACGCACACACGAACCCACCCACACACGCACGCACGCACGCACACACGCACACACGCACACGCGCACACCCGCACCCCCGCACACCCGCGCACCCGCACACCCGCACACCCGCACACCCGCACAGATGCACACACGCACACACGCACACACGCACACACGCACACACGCACACACGCACACCCGCACACACGCACAAACGCACACGACGCACACCCACACGCACACCCGCACACCGCACACACGCACACACGCCACCACGCACACACACACGCACACGCACACACGCACACACGCACACACACACGCACACACGCACACACGCACACCCGCACACACGCACAAACGCACACCCGCACACCCGCACACCCGCACACCCGTACACCCGCACACACGCACACACGCACACCCGCACAACCGCACACCCACACACCCGCACACCCGCAAACCCGCACACACGCACACACGCACACACGCACACACGCACACACGCACACACACACACCACACACACACACGCACGCACGCACACACATATTTTTTCGTCAGCGGCGAAGCGGCGAACTCCGCACCAGCGAGAAGCTGGAAAGGGGCACCAACTAGCGAATTGGCGGGCGGGCACAGAAAGGGGGGGGACGTGGGAGAGGAAAAAGGGGCGCTCAGACGCCGAAGAGTGCGACGACGAGCAGCCAGGGGGAGGGGGCTGGCAGCAGCAGCAGCCAGGCGCGCAGGGCCAGAGCGCGGTGGGCGGCCGTGGCGAACCACGGTGGCAAGGGTGGCGGGAGGGCGGCTGCCAGCAGCTGGAGCTCCTCGCCCCCCGGCGGCGCCGTGGGCGCCGCCCCTGGCGCGCTCCAGAAAGGGGTGTGGGGAGCGGGGTGCAACGCCAATCCAAGAATATGCGCGGACCTCCGACTGTATATGCCTGCGCCGCTTTTTGGCCCTCGAGAGGGTGAGAGAAGAGAAGATGCGAGGACGACAGCTACACACAGACACTGGTGTTGGCGTGTGGAAGGAATGCCATGTTGATGAGGGGGGAGGGGGCAATGAGGCAGGGAATGGGACGAAGGGCGGAGCGTGAAAGTCAAATCGAAGGAAGGAGCGGGAGCCAGAACGTGCAATCCCACGTGGTGGTCGGGAAAGACCGCGTGGCCCTCTTGACCTGCTCGGCCCTGCTGCGTGAGCCTCAAGCCCGAAACAAACCTAGACAACTGCCCGTGGCTAGTCGCAATGGTGGTGGAAGAAGAGATGAGGAGAGACGGTGGAGGGCGCGGCGAGGTAGAAATGGCTCTCGAAGCTTCGGTGATTCGTTCTGCCACAGAAGCGAACGATCGTCTGCGAGCGACGGGAGCGTTTGCTCTCGCCCAAGTCATGACGCTGGAAGCCAGTGGACGACCCTGCGCTCTGCAAAATGGCCACCGCATGCATGGATCCACCACACCCAGTCACCCGAGCTGCGTCCAACCGCGGCGACGAGACGTTCGAGGAGCGCATCAAAACACCTCCGTGGGGTGTGGGCCCCCGGGGATCTCGACCCCGCTCGTTGGGACGGCTTCTCCTCCCGAGTCGCGCTCTGACCATCCTGGGGCTGGGCAGTGGCCCCCATCTCTGCGAACGTCTCGTTCCCCGGTTGAACGACTCGTTCCCCGGTTGCTCGACTCGTTCCCCGGCGGAAGTAACACCAATTTGAAAGAACTCGTTCCCCGGCGGAGCTCATATTTAAAACAATGTTGATAAGATGTCATAGCGACCATGAACACGAGCTCGACCCTTACACGTAACCACTTACGTTGCCGCCGAAACAACGCGAATCCGACCAGGGAACGAGTTCGTCACGAATGTTGTTGTACTAGTGTGCGTGGCAATGGTTTTGCTCTTCTCAATGTTGGAGAACCTGCGCTTCTGAATCACCGAAAGGTGTTGCGCACAATGGGCACATCGCGAGGTACAGGAGGAGGAGGAGGAGGAGGAGGAGGAGGAGGAGGAGGAGGAGGAGGAGGAGGAGGAGGAGGAGGAGGAGATGGGGACGGAAAGAAAGAAGACGAGAAGGAAGAGGGGCGGGAGGAGGAGAAAGTGGAGGAGGAGGAAGAGGAAAGATGATCGAGGAGGAGGTGGGGGAGAAGGATGAGGATGAGGATGAGGATGAGGATGAGGAGGAGGAGGAGGAACAGAAGGAGGGGAAGAGGGAAGAGGATCGAGGCGGAGGAGGAGGAGGGGGGACAAAATGGGGACAAGGAGCAAAAATAACAGGAGGTGGAGGGGCTGGAGGAGGATCAGCCGTAGAACCGGGGGGAGGAGGAGCTGGAAGAGGAGAGGGACGGCGAGTACGAGGAGGGGTAAAAAAGAGGAGGAGGAGGAGGAGGAGGAGGAGGAGGAGAGGAGGAGGAGGAGGAGGAGGAGGAACCGGAGGGGTAGGAGGAGGAGGAGGAGGAGGAGGAGGAGGAGGAGGAGGAGGAGGAGGAGGACCGCCGACCCACAACCAGCCACGAACACAACAGCCCGCAACCCAGGAACGAAGGAACGAACCACAGAAACCCACCATCACCATCAATGTTGAAAGTCGTGAATTGAAGTGGGCCCGCGGCGCGGGATAATGTCGTTGCCGCCGTCAGTCGCCTGCTCGTTTGCTCTAATCGCCTGCTGGTTTGTTCTGCTCGCCTGCTCGTTTGCTCTGCTCGCCTGCTCGTTTGTTCGTTTGCTCAGCTCGAATTTAAAGGTTGTTGCCGCCTGCTCGTTTTCTCTGACGCACTGCCAGTCTGTGTTGTTTTTCCCCATTGCGTTTCGCCTGCAACAGGGGTCCTTTGGAGGCATCCCAGAGGGAGGCGCCGTGCGAGGCGGGGCCCGAGGCCTCTGGGGGCTGAGGTGGGCAACCAGAGAAGGCCCAGAGGAGGAGGTGCGGGCGGCTTCTTGTTCAAAACGGGGTTCTCGCTCGAGCTCCGCTGCGGGTCCTCTCGAGGCATCCCAGAGGGAGGCGCTGTGCGAAGCGGGGACCTGGGCCTCTGGGTGCTGATGGGAGCAACCAGAGAAGGCCGAGAGGGGGAGGTTGAGGGCGACTTCTTTTTCAAACCGGGATTCTCGCTTGAACACCACTCCAGGTCCCCTCGAGGCATTCCAGAGGGAGGCCCGTGCGAGGCGGGGCCCGAGGCCTCTGGGGCTGATGGGGGCAACTAGAGAAGGCCCAGAGGAGTTGCGGGCGGCTCCTTTTTGAAAGCGGCGAAAGCGATGGGGATAGCGCGCATGCGCATCTTCTCCTCCCGCGACAGTGGCCCAACAGGAATGTGCGCAGCCGAACGAGTGCAGCCGCGGCCACCTAGCCACAATAAGCTACTCAGACGGCTTTCAGATGACTCGGAAAGCTCCCACAGAGCTGTCAGAGGGCTCCCAGAGGGATTCCGACGAGGACCTATCGGAAGCATACCAGAGGCCTACCATATTCCTCTCAGAGGCATCCCTGAGAGCTCTCACAGGCTACTCAGAAGGAGATTACTCTGAGGGCCCTCAGAGGCCTCCACAGTGTTTTACCTCTCAGGGGGCCATCCGAAACCTCTCAGGAGCATCCCTCAGGGCGCCCAAAGGCTTCCAATATGAGGTTGCCAAGAAGCCTTTCAGAGGCAGAGGCCGCCGACGACCTGTCAAGGACCCTTTCAGGGGACGCCAAGAGCCCTCTCAGGGGCCGCCAGGAAGCCTCTCAGGGGACGCCAGGAGGCGCCTTAGGGGGACGCCAAACAAACCTCCCAAGGGCCGCCAAGAACCATCTCAAGGGCCGCCACGAACCGGCTCAACGACCGCCAAGAACCCTCTCAGGGGCTGCCGAACACTTTTTCAAGGGCCGCCAACAACCCTCCCAGGGGCCGCCAAGGACCCTCTCAGGGGCCGACAAGGACCCTCAGATGGGGCCCCCAAGAGGCCCCTCAGGGGCTGCCAGAAGTCCTCCCAGGAACCGCCACTAAGCTTCTTAGGAGGCCGCCAAGAGCCCTCTCAGGGGGCCGCGACGAAGCCTCTCAGGGGCCTCTGCCCCCCCCCCCCCCCCCCCGCAAAAAAAAAACCTCTTCAGGGGCCGCGGCCTCTCCGGGGCCGCCGAGAACCCTCCCAGGAGACGCCACGAATCCTCTCAGGGGCCGCCCAGAACGCCCTCAGAGGCCGCCCAGAACACTCTCACGGGCCGCCAAAAATCCTCTCAACGGCCGCCCGGAACCCTCTCAGAGGCCGCCCAGCACCCTCTCAGGGGCAGCCGGAAACCCTCTCATACGCCGTCAAGAACCCTCTCAGGGGCCGCCAAAACGCCTCTCAGGGGTCGCCAAGAACCCTCTCAGGGGCCGCCGAGAGCCCTCTCAAGGGCCGCCACGCGGCGTTTTAGGGACCGCCAAACAAACTTCTGAGTATCAGGGGCCGCCAAGAACCTCCTTGGGGGCCGCCACGAACCCTCTCAGGGGCCGCCAAGAATCTTTTTTTTGGGGGCGCCGAAAACCCTCTCAGGGGCCGCCAAAAACCCTCTCAGGGGCCGCCCAAAACCCTCTCAGGGGCCGCCAAGAACCCTCCAAGGGGCCGCCAATACCCCTCCCAGGGGCCGCCAAGAACCCTCTCAGGGGCCGCCAAAAATTCTTCTCCCAGGAACCGCCAGCAAGCCTCTCATGGGGCCGCCAGAACCCCTCTCTGGACAAGCGCATTCCACTGCTCGCAAAGTAGTTACTCGCGAATGGCTTGGATCCGCCGCGGAAGATTTGCGATCAATTCCATAAATGGAAGACGTGTATGTGTATGTGTGTGTGTGTGTGTGTTTGTTTGTGTGTGTGTGTATGTGTGTGTGTGTGTGTGTGTGTGTGTGTGTGTGTGTGTGTTTCAGAAGTTTGCGAGTCGGCACTTTGCGAGTAGTGGGACGCGCTCGGCGACTCTCAGGGGCCGCCAAGGAGCCTCTCAGGGGCCGCCAAGAACCAGCTTGGGGACCGCCAGGAACCTTTTTGTGGGCTGCCATCTTCTTGGCGACCGCCCAGAACCCTCTCAGAAGCTCCATCTACTGAGAAAACGCGTCGAATTTCAGCCAGAGAACGAGTCGTTCAACCGGGGAACGAGTCGTTCAACCGTGGAACGAATTTTTCTCCCCCATCTCTGGCCCCGAAATTGCCAAACGATGCCCAGGACGGGGGAACGGGTCGAGACTCCAATGAGCCCGCGTCGCGAACAAAAGTCTGCGTCGGAGGAGGACGGCGCAAACACCAAAAGCGTCAAGAGATGGAGGCCGTGCTTTTTCGGGCGTCGCCCAGACCTCAGGCAATCGGCATCGAATCGCCGCATCGGCACTGGCCAGAGCGTGCATCGGAGCAGGCCGCATCGGCGCGGAAGCGAAATCGGATCGAGCGGGCCAAGCCAGGAGGCACAGCCGAGCCGTGTGAACATCGGGCCGCGCTGGACCGCCCGACAATCGAAATTGAATCGGATCGAGCCGGGCGAGCTTTGCCCGCCTCCTCCGACGTCAGTGTTTTTCGCCCGAGTCGCTCTTGACGGCCAGGGAGCCAGGAAGCGGCCCCGGGAGGCCGAAAGCGCAGCAACGCCGACCGCAGCGACTTGCTTGCGACCCTCGGAGCCCTCCAGTGGTGAGCTCTGCACAGAGTTCAAGAGGGGATCCACGAGAGACTTCGAGGAGACCTAGAAATCCTGAGCGCATGCAGGATCTTCAATCGATCCTCGCACCCCCCTCCGCGCCCCCGTCGGAACCAGACACCCACCCGTTCGATCTTTCCAGCGAGCGGCTCCAGAGGTCGTGACCCCCTCCCTCTGGGCCAGATGTCCGCCCCGGATCGACGGTCATGGGCCCCAGAGGCCGACATCGAGAGAGGGCGCTGGGGGTTGAAACACCAGGGCGTCGGATACCTTGAAGGGCAGCACTTATAGAGGGGGGACTGGCTCAGGGGGGACTGGCTCAGGGGGGCAAGCATCGGCAACAGATCGGCGATGCCCCCGATGGCGAGATGGCGCGATCCTGGGCGGGGCGGGCCAACGGGCCCCGATCGGCGATGAATGCGCGATTGGAAGGGAACAGAAGAACATAGACGCAGACTTTCAAGAGGCCCGCGCAATTTCTTTTGTATATCTTCGCTGAATCCCCCTCCCTGGCGCGCGGAGCGCGCCAGGGGCAGCGCCCAAGGCGTCGCCAGGGCGCCGAGCGCAGATCCACGAAATCCGCGCGGAGCTCCGAACTGTCATGTTCATGCCTTTTTCATTCTTCGAGATTGGGGGCCGATGTGTCCCCGACCTGGGCCCACTCCCCCCCTAAGCGTTGCCCCTGATGTGAAGCTCAAGGAAAGGGGGGACCAGCTCAAGGGGGAAGCATCGACCTGGACCCGGCGATCATTACATCGCCGATAGATCGGCAATGAGCCCCCGAGAGGAATCCGGACGGTCCTGGGCGGGGTGGGCTACCGGGCCCCTGCCAGGCTGGGTCGATGCGTCCTCCCTGTTGAGCAGGGACCGACCGTCCCGGCATCCCTATAGGCCTACCACGAAATGTTCTTAGAACCCACACATGTTCTAAGAACAAAAGCAATGCTCTTGTAACGTAATCCCGATGTGTTAAACATTTCGTGGAAACCACAGACAAGTTCTTAGAACATTATTAGGTGGGCCTTTAGGCAAGCCAGGACGCTTCGCCACTGCTTGACAGTGTGGTCCTCGTCGTCCAACTTCCGGGTCGTCACTCGGGTCTCTGGCTGTGGCTCGAGACGACCCGGCCCCTCCCGGACGCCTCTCGGCGAGGCGCAGCCGCTAAGAAGGCGCCCCGAGGCTGGAAAACCGCCGAGAACCGAAGAGAACGGCCGAAATCCTCGATGCTCGAACCTCGCGCAGCCTTGGAATCGTGAAGACCTCCCCGCCCAGCATCCCCCCGTGATCGTTGCCCCTGGCGATGTCTGCGGGCGCGCCCCGGCTCCTCCCCCTCGGGGACGGCGCTCAAGGCACCCTCGCCCGCGCCGACGTTCACGCCGGCCTTGCTGGCCAGCCCCTCCTGCGCAGAAGGCCAGGCGGGGCGGCGCGCCGCTGCCCGCCCGGCCGCAAGCGGGGGGGGAGCCTCCATAGGTGCGGCGAAGGCAGGACCCAGTCCTCCAACGTCTTCAGGAACCCAGGGCGGCGTGTCTTTGTTTGCACGATGTGCGGCATCTGGAGCCCCTCGCTGGGCCCTGGGGCCCTGGGGCCGTCGAGCGACGACGCGGGATGAAAAGCTGGCTCCGGGCAAACGGCCTGGACCTCTGGGGATCCCGTAGTTCGGGAGCGGCCAAGAGGGGGGGTGTCCAAGAGGTGTGTGTGTGTGTGTGTGTGCAAATCATGACCGGCGGCATGTGCGCGGCCCAGCGGGAGGGCCAGGGACGTAATGAAATGAGACGAGGCGCCATGAAATCAGGGGAAATATCATGGCCCCCGCCATGATAATCCACCCCCCCCTAGTTATCACCCCCCTCTTTGCAGAGCCCGAGTATTGAGAAACTAGAGATGTCGGATGTCTGGGGATGATGGCCCATGACTCCCGATGAAGATAAAACCGTAGATCCGGGTTTCGCAGAAATGCGGGCGACGGCCAGCTGTGCTGCTTTTTCGGCCTCTAGGGGCCGTCTCCTGGCCCAGGGTCCCGAACGAAAACTCAGGACGCAAAGCCAATCTCTGCACGCCAGCGAGTCTGGAGGAAGTACCGGGCGTTGCGGTCGGTTCCAGAGCATCCTGGACCGCTCTGGGAGCGTACCATAACTCTTTGGAGCGACTTATCCTTATCGTAGTCCTGCCTAGCCCAGCCCATATGAGGCCCCCTCGGCGCCGTGGGAAGTATTGGCCTGGCAAGGAGCCCAACGATACGCCGCTGCGAGTAGCGCAGGATACGTCCCTCTCCTCACATGCAGCGCGCCGTGAAAGGGATGGCGCTCGCGGCAGTACGGGTGGGCGGCGGCGGACCTGGCGCGCAGAGGCGACCTGTCTCTGCGGTGCGCGATCCAACTGAAGGGTGCGCCGGCTACGGAGGCCTCCCTGATGGGGTTAGAGCAGACGGGGTCGGAGGATCGCGCTGTATCGTCGGTGCTTCACTGATGCGTCGGCGACGTCAGCAGTGCATTGGCGACGTCGGCGTGGAGAGCATCGGGCTCCATATCGAGCCGCGTCGGCGATGCGTCGGCGATGCGGTGCGATCCTCCGACCCTACTCTGACACCATCTGGGATGCTCAGATACTGTTCCTCCTCCCTTCGGATCGGACGAAAGGGGGGGATATCAAAGGGGGGGTTTGAGAATCAGCTCACGTAGCTGATTTTCCCGGCGCCTCCCGGCGCCGGAGGCGGCTATGTATCGAGGAATGGGCCCCTCGGTGAGGCCGGAACCAGCTGCATGCAGCAAATTTCGTACCCCCCCCTTTCCCAATCCCCCCCTTTCGCCCGGCCCGATCCCTGGTCCTCCCTTCCTGGTCCTCCTCCCTTCACGGCCGATCCTCCGCCCCCTCGTCCTCCTGATCGTCGCCCTCTTCCTGGGCCTCGCCTGTGCTGTCCTGTCCTCCTCCTCCTCCTCCTCCTCCTCCTTCTCCTCCTTCCCTTCATCCTCCTCCTCCTCCTCATTTTCCCGTAGCCGTGTTGGCTCAAGCTCCACACGCGCGTCCCTGGCGCTTGGAGCTTGCATGGAGCCGAGGAGGCGGCGGCAAGCCCCCGATGGGGTCTGCCTCTCGCCCGTGCCTGCGCCGCTGCCTCCTGCAGTCTCAGGGCCGTGTCCTCCCGGCGGTGGCAGCGCTTTACGCCATGGCGGACCCTGGTCTCCGGTGGTCTGATCGTCGCCCTCTTCCTGGGCCTCGCCTGTGCTGTCCTGTCCTCCTCCTCCTCCTCCTCCTCCTCCTTCTCCTCCTTCCCTTCATCCTCCTCCTCCTCCTCATTTTCCCGTAGCCGTGTTGGCTCAAGCTCCACACGCGCGTCCCTGGCGCTTGGAGCTTGCATGGAGCCGAGGAGGCGGCGGCAAGCCCCCGATGGGGTCTGCCTCTCGCCCGTGCCTGCGCCGCTGCCTCCTGCAGTCTCAGGGCCGTGTCCTCCCGGCGGTGGCAGCGCTTTACGCCATGGCGGACGGAGATGTCCTGGTCTGGTGGTTGGGCCGGTGGCCAGCGCCCAGGCAAGGCGACGGCGAAGAGTCGCGAGCATGACGCGTTCAGCGCCTGCTCACATTGGGAGCTCAGGGCCTACGGCAACACGTGCTGCACGAGATGTGGCGGCACATATCTCTCTCGGCTTCCTGCTGGCGCTGGTGCTGTTGGAGGCGGCCAACGTGCTGATGCTCAGCAGGGTGGTTAGCCTGCTCGACCTGACCAAGAGGCCCTTCTCGCTGCCGCTGCCCTGCGGGTGCCGGCACAGCACAGCCCGATCTGCGAGGCGGGCTCGCAGCATAAATGCAAGCCCCAACGCCTCCTCCTCCTCCTCCTCAGCCTCCTCCTCTTCCCTCCTCCTCTTCCTCCTCCTCTTCCCTCCTCCCTCCTCCCTCTCCTCCTCCCCCTGCTATTGGTGCTGCTGCGTCTCTGCTCCTCCCCACTGCGCGCAAATGTGGGGGTGTATAGGAGGATGGGAGGGGAAGAGGAGGAGGAGGAGGAGGAGGAGGAGGAGGAGGAGGAGGAGGAGAGGAGGAGGAGAGGAGAGAGAGTGGGGAGGAAGAGGAGGAGAAGAGGAGGAGGAGGAGGAGGAGAGGGAGGAGGAGGAGGCGGATGAGGAGGAGCAGGAGGAGGTGGAGGAGGAGGATGGGGAGGGGACAATGAGTCGGGAGGAGGAGGAGGAGGAGGAGGAGGAGGAGGAGGAGGAGGATACCACAACAAACACGAACCATAAACCAGACGCATCAGATTTCGATAATTCGTACGAATTTCTTGAATCCGCGCTGGAACCCCATGGCGACGCCTCTGGCGCCGCCCCTGACGCGCTCTGCGGGGGTCCAGCGCCGATCGAAGAAATCCGTGTGGACATCTTCTTCTGGAGTCTTGCTTCGCGATGAGAAGAGGAGGTGAAGGATGAGGTCCTGTCCTCCTCCCACACCAGGCCTCTCACGTCGTGTCTGTTTCGGGATCCGTCCAGGTTTGCCCCGCCCCCTGCAGCACTTCGCACAGCTCCCTCGGGAGCCTGAGGCTGCAGCACTGCACCCTGAGGACCACGTGTTTTGATTGTGCCCCTTGTTCTTTCCCTCGCTGCGTCAGTCCCTCCTCTTTCGCCCGCGCCTCTCTTTCTGCCTGATGCGCGCTGCTGTGGCCCGTTTGCCGCTTCGACCTCGGTCCGATCGTCCTGAGCCGCAGACAGACAACTTGGTTTTCAAAACGTGAACCCAGTGACATCTCGACCCCTCCCAAAGCATCCGCTTCCGTCCTGGCTGAGTATTCGGCGGCCGCCCCAGCAGACGAAAGCAGATCCTGGCGGACGAAAGCTACGAAACACCTCAGAGGGCCAAACACTGCTGAAACCTCAAGCCTCCTTCTCCCTCAACCTCCTTCGTCCTTCGTCCTCGTCCTCCTCCTCCTCCTTCTTCTCGACCCTCCTCCACTTGCAGCAGATTTCGAGGGGGGTGGTTCTCCTCCTCCTCCCTCCCTCCCTCCCTTCTTTTTCCTCCTGCTCCTCCTCTTCCTCCTCCTCCTGCTCCTCCTCCTCCTCCTTCTGCTCCTCCTCCTCCTCCTCCCTTCCTCCCTCTCTCCCTCCCTCCCTCTCTCCCTCCCTCCTCCTCATCACCATCCCTTCCCATTCCTCCGCTCTCCTCCTCCTCCCTCCCCCCTCCCCCTCCTCCTCCTCCTCCTCCTCCTCCTCCTCCTCCTTCTGCTCCTCCTCCTCCTCCTCCTCCTCCTCTTCCTCCTCCTCCTCCTCCTACTCTTTCTCTTCTTCTTCCTCCGCCTCGTTGTCGCCGTCGTCGTCGTCGTCGGCGTCGTCGTCGTCCACATCCTCCTCCTACTGCTCGTTATGGTTCGTGCAGTGGGCTGTCGAGCAACAGTTGTTTGGGGCTGCGGCCCGCCACCCTCGCCCTCATCCCTCAGGCAGGGCTCGGCAGGCCGAGTCACTCGAGGCCCTCGACCGACCGACCGACCTCCGACTCTCTCCTCCACTCACCTCCCTCCCCCCGCCTTCGCGCTCTCCCTCCTGCTCCTCTGCCTCTTCCCTCTTCCTCGCCCCCCATCCCCTCCCTGCCCCCCTCCCCTTCTCCTCCCCTCCTCTCCTCATCCTCCTCCTCCTCCTCCTCCTCCACCTCCTCCTCCTCCTCCTCCTCCTCCTCCTCCATCCTCCTCCCCTCCCCTCCTCCCCCTCCCTGCCCCCCTCCTCCTGCTCCTCCTGCTGCTGCTGCCGCTCCTCCGCCTCCTCCTCCTCCTCCCCACGCGCCTCCAGCAGGAGAGCGCCCGGCGGCACAGTCCTGCAGCGCCAGCAGGGTCCCGAGCAGGCCCCGGACCTCCGCGTCGGCTGCGATGCCCGCCGGGCCTGCGGCGGGGGGAGGACGGGCCTCCTCCTCCTCCTCCATCCTCCTCCTCCTCCTCCTCCTCCTCCCCTCCCCCCTCCTCCTCACTCCTCCTCCTCCTCCTCCTCCTCCTCCTCCTCCTCCTCCTCCTCCTCCACCTCCTCCTCCTCTCCTCCTCCGCCTCCTCCTCCTCCTCCTCTCTCCCCCTCCTCCTCCTCTGCCTCCTCCTCCTCCTCCTCCTCCTCCTCCTCCTCCTCCTCCTCCTCCTCCTCCTCTCCTCAGATCGGGGGGACGCGAAGTTGGGGTGGGGCAGAGGTGGGGCTAGAGGAGCATCGCTCTTAGCGGACTCTGCAGGCACGAAGTGTGAGCGCCCAGGGTGTGGGGGTGTCTCGAGCAAAGCGCTGGTTTTGCACCTCCGGCTCCCCTCTCTTCAGAGCCCCACGATCGCCGCAAAGTGGCGGGCAGGATGGCATTTTGGCACTCCGAGGGGGGAGCCGCCAGGGGACAGGACATCTCTCTGTTCGCGCCCAGATTGTGGAGATGTTCCGAACGAGGCGTTTGTTTTGAACCTCCGATTCCTTCCTTCAGAACGCCATGATGGCCGCGATGTAGCGGGCATTGCGCTCCCAAGGGGGAGCCGCCAGAGGGTGTTACACAAACAACGTGTGTTTTATACCTCCTCCTCCTCCTCCGCCGCCTCCGCCTCCTCCTCCTTCAGCGCCTCCTCCTGCTCCTCCTCCTCCTCCTCCTCCTCCTTCTCCTCCTTCTCCTCCTCCTCCTCCTCCTCCTCCTCCTCCTCCTCCTCCTCCTCCTCCTCCTCCTCCTCCTCCCCCGCCTCCTCCTCCTCCTCCTCCTCCTGCGATTCCTCTCTTTTGACAGCCCTAGGATCGCTGCAGTGTGGCAGGCGTGGCATTTTCCCCGAGGGGGGAGCCGCCAGGGGTTACCCTTGCCCGCTCGCGGCCAGATCGTGGGGACGTCTCGAGCGAAATGCTGGCGTTGCCCCTCCCAATCCCGCCAGCCCTTTGGGCGTACGAGGTGGTCTAACGAGTTGTTTATTTCCTCTTCCAAAGCCTTTGTTTCTTGGGGGAGGCATCTCCTCCCCCTCCCATCCCTGAGTCTTTTTCCCAACCATCCTGTGGTGTTGGGTCCTCGTTTTGAAGAGACGGTCCCCGCGTTCCTCTCTTCTCCTCTTCTCCTCCTCCTCCTCCCTCCTTCCCTCTCGGCACACCCCTCACACGTTTCGTGGCCCCATAGGGGGCTCCATGTAATGTGCCATCGGCGCACTTCGCATGGCGGCGCCGACCCACTTTGGCACGCCCCTCACACGTCTCGTGGCCCCATAGGGAGCTCCATCAAATGTCCCATCGGCGCACTTCGCATGGCGGCGCCGCCCCATTTCGGCACACCCCTCAGGTTTCGTGGCCAGACAGGGAGCTCCATCAAATGTCCCATCGGCGCACTTTGCATGGCGGCGTCGCCCCATTTCGGCACACCCCTCACACGTTTCGTGGCTCCATAGGGACTCCACCCGAGATTCCAGTGGCGCAGTTCGCATGGCGGCGCCGCCCCATTTCGGCACACTCCTCAGGTTTCGTGGCCCCACAGGGGGCTCCACCTGAGGCCCCATTGGCGCAGTTCGCATGGCGGCGCCGCCCCATTTTGGCACATCCCTGACACGTTTCGGTGCCCCACAGGGGGCTCCACCTAAGGTCCCAGTGGCGCAGGGTACTCTCCCCGTCCCATTCCAAAGTTTTTTTTTGTTAGGGGGGGGTGCGGGGTGTCAGAGGGTCTTCCTAGCCCAGATGGCTTCAAGAGGGCGTCCGGTGCTCCAATGTTGCATCCAAGATGGCTCAAGATAACCGAAGACGGTCCAAGATAGCTTCCGACATACCTCCAATAGGCCCGACGAAGGCCACAAGACGGTTCCAAGACCCCCCCAAAAAAGGCAAACTATTTCAACCACCTGAAGAAATCAGTTATGTTCGCCTTCTCGCCGTTAGGCTTCCGATGGGCTTCTGAGGCCTCAGGACGGCCCCATGATGGCCCAAGAGAGCCCCAAGAGGGCTCTAAGACACTTTGACAAAGCCCAATGAGGATCCCAGGGCCTTCCAAAAGACCCCCAAGAGGGTCCCAGGAGGACCCAAAGCAACCTCCAAGAGGACCCTAAAAGTGCCCTCAAAAGAACCCAAGATGGCTCAAAGAGTTCTTGTCCTCGTTGTCCTCCTCCTCCTGCCTCCGATGCTCCAGAATGCCTTCCAAGATGGCTCTAAACGCTCCTCCCCCTCCTCTCCTTGCCCGATTTCGTTTCACAACATGTGTCTCTCCTCCCGCTTCCCGTCAGCTCCCATGGGCAACGTGTCTGACTGTGCTTGCAGGGATTTTTTGATTTGCGGCCCGCAAGGAAAAGTCCAGAAGGCGGTCAGTCTTGTAGGGATACGCGAAACGTGAACAAATTCTCTCAACAAGATCATCCCGATGTAGCCGGCAGAGAAATTGTGTTCTCCAAGGGGGAGCCGCCAGGCAGCCCTCAGTAGCCACATCCAAAGAAATTGCTTTTCTCCCCTTTCGCTTTCGTTCTCTCTATCTATCTCACACCCTCAAACGCTCACAAAGAAAAATGCAAGGAACATACATGCGCACATGGATATCTCCGCGTCGAATATGTTTCTTCGAGTCTGGGCCTCCTATGAAAAAAACTGACACCCCAAACCGCCGATAATTTCACTTGCTCAACGGGGTCCCCATCCCACCTTCCGGTGGGACTGGTTTTCCGCCCGCGATAACTTCTGACGGCCGCAGGGCCCGTCAGTTTCCTCCACGCACCAACAACGACGAACAAAACCTCCATCCCGATGTTCCGAAAACGTTCCAGTCTGGGCCCGACAAGGAACACTACTTTCGCGACCGAGGCCTCCGCGGACTTCGACCTCTTCCTAGGGGGCCACTTCCTCATCCCGAGCCTTTCTTTTCGACGGCCCCGGAGCTGGGCGCCGGCATCTGGATGCCGAGTAAGTGCCGCAAAGACTGGGCGTCGCGGTGCTTGTGGCGAAGCCTGGGTCGCCCTCCCCACCTCCGCCCTCCCCCTGCACGAGGGTCGCGGGGGCCGCGAGGCGGGCTGGCGCAGCCCACCCCTCCCTCCCTCCATCGGTGGCGACGCGCCGGTCGCTCGAAGTGCACGGAGAGAAACGACACCATCCTCGCACGATGCGCCGCCTTGACGCGCGGGCGCCCAGAAGCCCCAGGCAGGTCCCACACAGGAGCGAAACGTGCACACCGCCTCTGATGGGCCCGTTCTCCACCACCACCACCATCAGTTGGACGGGGAGGGGGTCCTCCTCCTCCTCCTCCTCCTCTTCGTCCTTGTCCTCCTCGTCCTCCTCCTCCTTCCCCCCATCCAACTTATGGTGGTGGTGGTGGTGGTGGTGGAAAACAGGCCCATCAGCCTCCCTCTCCCCTGGGACGGTCTATGGAGGACTGGGTTCGAAAGGCTGATGGTGACACAAACATGAGCTTTCGGAGGGCGGCGCTCCCTCGCGCGCGGAGCGCGCCAGGCGCGGTGCCGGAGGCGCCGCCAAGGGGCTCCAACCCGGATCCGAGAAATCCGCGCGGGCCCTCTACAATTTAGGCTCCTGCCTTTTTCGTTCCTGGAACACTCGTTGTCATTAGGCTTATGGTGTTTTGTTCTTGCAAAGCATTTTGTACCTGGCTTTAGGTTTTACAGTGGAGGTCCGACCACAAGAAACCTTCCACAAGAAACCCAACCCTGAGAGCCCAGGACGTCCATCGACTTCTTGTGTGGGCACGTCACGCGTTCCATCACAAAACCATCGAAACCCAAGAAACCCAGGGCATCCTGGAGGCGAGCAGGGTGATTCTTGGCAGTGGCCCCCACTGTATGCCATCTTTTGTTCCTGGAATGCCGCTGCCCTCTCCTCCAGGGCTCCCTGCAGAGGACGGGAGGAGCAGCAGTTGCTTTGGGATGGATCCTCGGGTGAGACGACACAGAGGCCGCGCGCTTCGCTAAGACGACGCCAGGACGAAGATAAACCGGGCGAAGATAAACCGAGAATCTTGGAGATCCGCCGGCTCCTCCCCGGGGGGGGGGTCCAGGAAGGGGGGTTCTCCTCCTCCTCCTCCTCCTCCTCCTCCTTCTCATCCTCCTCCTGATCCTCCTCCTCCTCCTCCTCCTCCTCCTTCCCCTCCTCCTCCTCCTCCTCCTCCTCCTCCTCCTCCTTCTCACTGCCTCCTCCTCCTCCTCCGCCTCCTCCTCCTTCTCCTCCTCCTCCTCCTCCTCCTCCTCCTCCTCCTCCCCCTCCTGGTCGTCGTCGATGTCTTTCAGGGTCGGCGGCACCAGCCGTCAGGCCTTCACAATCTTGGAGATCTGGCGGCTTTGAAGGATGTCTCGGGCGCCGCGGCCTGCTCAGAGCGTTCCAGAGCGCTCTGAGAGCGTTCCAGAACGCTCTGGAACTGAGCCATCCTCGTCCTAGTCCCGTCCGATTCGCCCCCTGGGAGCTCTTCGGGCAAACTGCTTGAGGTGCAGCAGCGAACGAGCATCGTCGACGATGTGACCAGAGGCGGAACGGAGAGATGCAGTGCACGCTGGGGGCTTCAAAAAACCCAAGATTAGCAGACGCGGAACGGTACAACACACACGCTTTTCTGCCGTCGGGGACGCCTGCCCCAGGCGGCTGGACAGTTTTTCTACCCCGACGTGCCTCTGTAAGTTGAGGATGTCAACTTTCCAGCCGTCCTGGGGTAGGCGTCCCCGAGGGCGAATCAGTTCATCTGAAGCCGTTTCCCGTTGCCTAGCACGCCTGTCACCGATCTATCGACGATGTATCGCCGATTCCAGCTAGATGCCCCCCTTGAACTTCACCCTCCTACAACCATCACTGGCAATACATATTCGCGATAAGGATGCAAGGGCCTTGGACGCCCATGTCGACATTTTTTCGAGCGGGGCGCGGCCATCAAAAATGGTCAAGGATGGGTCGACGAACCAAGGATGCAAGGGTACCCCGGGCAATGGCTCATCTTTGCTATCAGTGTCGACTGTCTCCCCCCCTATCGTTACCCCTGAGGAAGCGATCACAGACTGCTGCGTGGGCGAGCGGCGATGGGGCGAGCCTACCCACCCCCGTATCGTTGCCCCTGAGCCCGTCCCCCCCTGAGCCTCCTATCCTGCACGGTTTCCCCCGGGGCTGTAGTAGGCCCTAGGCGACCCGAGGAGGGGGAGGCGGAAGAGAAGGAGGTGGAGGAGGGGAGGGGGAGGAGGACATGGAGGAGGAGGAGGAGGAGGAGGAGGAGGAGGAGGAGGAGGAGGAGGCGGAGGAGGAGGGAGGGATGAGGACGAGGAGGAGGAGGAAGACGAGGAGGAGGACAAGGAGGAGGACTAGGAGGAGGACCAGGAGGAGGAGGAGAAGGAGTAGGAGGAGGAGGAGGAGGAGGAAGAGGATCCAGGAAGCGTGGCTTCGGTTCCCATGGGTCTTTCTCGGCTCGGGTCCCGTGCCTCCTCGGAGGCGGCTTCGAGGCAAACAGCCGTCCCTGGTACTGGTTCCCTCGGCTCCAGAGTGCCAGCTAGGGCCCAATTGGACCTTCTGGCCACCAGAAACCTTGAATGGACACTGGATGATGAACGCACACTCCGACACCAGTTAATACTTGGGCACGACCCTGATGGCTGGCTACCATCACCACTACGAAAGTATTTTAGACCGCGCGATCCCTACCTTGGAGTTGAGGCTCCGAAATTGGGAATGGATTGCAAGTATCACACGCGTCTATGACCACCGGCTCCCACTACTGGATCCCACCTGGTTGGACGGAAGACTGGATCACCACAGGAGCCGTGTCGTCTGCTGCTGCGCCCCTCACGCTTCCTGAGCTCTCTGGCTAAGCACCCGACCTTGGGGGAAGGGCCTCGGGGTGCAGGTTCACGCTGCCAAGGCAACCGTTGTGTCCGTTCACATTAAAAACCGTAGCCCCCCCTGGTGCCGTGCGCATGTGTGCTCGGCTCGTCGTTGACAGTACCCCGTCGGCTGTGGGAAGGACTCCGCTTCGTCCACTCGCCTCACTCGTTGCCCTCTCTGCCTCTCTGCGCCCTGGGCAGTACCACAGGAGGACGAGGAGGAGGAGGAGGAGGAGAAGGAGGAGGAGGAGCAGGAGGAGGAGAGGGAGGAGGAGGAGGAGGAGGAGGAGGAGGAGGAGGAGGAGGAGGAGGAGGAGGAGGAGGAGGAGGAGGAGGAGGAGGAGGAGGAAGGGGATGGGGGAGGCAGGAGAGGAGGAGGAGGAGGAGGAGGAGGAGGAGGAAGGGAGGAGGAGGAGGAGGAGGAGGAGGAGGAGGAGGAGGAGGAGGGAGGGAGGATGGGGGAGGAGAGGAGGAGGAGGAGGAGGAGGAGGAGGAGGAGGAGGAGGAGGAGGAGGAGGAGGAGGAGGAAAGCAGCAGTGCCGACCGCCTTGCTCTCTGCACGTGTGCGCCGCTCGCCGCTGGGCAGCGCCGCGGGCGGTGCGGGCGAGTTCTCCCCGCGGCTGCCGCTGGCCGCCTCCCGCTCCCACTCGTTCTCGCCTCGTTCTCATCTGGGCTTCCACCGTCCGCCCTAAGGAGGAAGAGGAAGAAGAAGAGGAGGAGGAGGACGAGGAGGAGGGCATGGAGGAGGAGGAGGAGGAGGAGAAGGAGGAGGAGGAGGAGGAATAATAATAATACTAATAATAATACTACTACTACTACTAATAATAATAATAATCATAATAATCATAATAATCATAATAATCATAATAATCAGGATGATAATGATAATAACACTAATGTAAATCATAATAATAATAACAATAATAGTAATACTACTAATAATAATAATAAAAAATATTATTAGTAATAATAATTATAATAACAATAATAATATCAATAACAACAGTCATAATAATAATAGTAATAATAATACTAATAATAATAATAAAAATAATAATCATAATAATACTAATAATACTAACATGAAGAACACAAATAAAAATAAGAAGAATAATCCGCCGATCCGGCGTGTGAGTTTCAAGGAGTCTCAGCTACAGCCTCGAGGCTGAGCCTCAGCCTCTGGGGGGGTTGCCGGGGTGGCTCTGCCGGGGAAGGGGCGGTGGGGTGTGTGTGTGTGTGGGGGGGGGGGGGGGGGGGGGCGAGTTTCCGGCGGATGCGTTTTTTGACACCCCTCACAAGGATCGTGGCCTCCGAGGGGGTTCCGAACTCGAGTACCACCCCTCCCGCACCAAGAGGCTCCGAGGAGGCCTCCAAGAGGCCCCAAGGGGCGCAGAAGAGGCCCCCAAGAAGCCCCAAAAGGCTTTTTTACTCCCCCAAGCCCCCAGCGGATCCCGCCACGAGGCCCGTTCGCCGCAGGCTGCGGCACGCCTCAGGCCTGACTGGCCTGGTCCACGCCGTCCTTGGCGCCGACGCTGTCGTCCACCCCACCTCGGACTCCAACTTCATGCCAACGCCCTCGACTCCTTTACCGCCACCTACGAAGAATTGCACGATCGCCCCGCGCCACGCGTCGACACCGTCCTGCGGAGCTGCCACCTCCACGGCCTCCTTCGCGGTCTGCTGGTGGCCGCTCCTCTCGGCCAGCCGCCAGCCTGCTGCCAAACCGTGCGCGAAGGCCCTTGCCTCCGCTTGCTGGTCGGCCTCCTGCCAAACGCCTGGCGCCAACCCACCTCCGCCGTTGAGCACGGTGCCCTCCGACGCCATGTGGTTGACGCTCTGTGCGTCGTCGCCGCCGTCCGACTCGTCCTCGCTGCCGACCTCCGTGCCAGCAAACTGGCCCACTCCGTCGCCGTCCTCCGACGCCTCCTGGATGGGCACATCATCGTCATCATCGTCCTCCTTCCTCCGCCCCCGCTGCCGCCAAGGGGCCCTGGAAAGAGAACATGCCAGGTTGAGCAACTTCGGCTCGAGCTCGGCGACGTGGATGACCTTCCCCTCGACCCCGAGCCACTTGCTGCCCCTCCTGATGTCGGGCTCCAGCTTCGCCTCCCAGTCCACGCTGGGCGGCACCAGTGCCCGCTTCTCTTGTTCGCTCTCGCCCTCGACAGCCTCGGCGAGGCCGCGCAAGTCGCAGTTTCCGTGCTCGGCCTCCTCCGCCTCGAGCTGAAAGCCCAGGCGGGGTCCCCGCGCCACCTCCGCGATCTCCTCGGCGGTCGCCCTGAAGCCGCTCGGAGGGGCCCAGGCTGCGTGGATGGCCGCGTTACGGCGCCGGCGCGATGCGCCCGCCACCCGCCGGCCCTCCACCGCGCTGACCAAGGCGGGCCTGGCCGCCCGCTCACGGTCCTGCCATGACCCCGGCTTGCAGGGGCCCGCCACGGCATGGCACCAGGCCTCCAGCGCCCTCAAGCGCCGCCGCCTGGCCGCCCTTCTCGCCGCAGAGGGGCCCAACACCAGGTTCTCCTGCTGTCTGAGCGCCTTGGGCTGCCAGCAGGCTGGCAGCCCCCCGCAGCCGTTGCGCCCCGCCGCCCAGGCCGCCGCCATCACAGGAGGCGCGCCTCCGCGGAGGACCCAGCTGGAGCCAAAATGGCTACGGAAGAAGCCCCAAGAGGCTCCCAAGAGACCCCCAAGAGGCCCTCTAGTGGGCCCAAGAGGCCCAAGAGGCCCCCAAGAAGCCCCAAGAGGCGCCCAAGAGGCCCCCAGAAGTCCCAGCCCACCACGAGATCCCAACCAGCATCCATGAGGCCTCTGACCCACCACCCACGCACGGTGGCGGGATAGGCCGACGGCCACTGGATAAATGCTGAGTGAGAGGAGGAGAAAGAAAAAGAGAGGAGGGACGAAGGCGAAGAAGGATCACATCAGTCGGAGCGCCCCGGATCGGCGGCACTGGCCGAAGGCCCCTACAATAAGAAGAAGACGAAGAAGAAGACGAATAATAATAAGAAGAAAATAATAATAAAAGGAGGAGGAGGAGGAGGAGACCCACCTGGGCGAGCGGCGCGCGGCGAGCGGCGCGGGAGCGGCGGGGCCCGCCTTGCAGCGCGCGGGCGGCCGCCGAGCTCCCGGCGGCTCCCACGACGGGGAGGCGGTGCCTGCCCCGCTCGCGAGGGGCCGACCGGCAGCGCGGCGTACGGGGGGCGTTTCCTCCTGCTCCTCCTCCTCCTCCTCCTCCTCCTCCTCCTCCTCCTCCTCCCCCTCCTCTGCCCCCCTATCTCCGCATCGCTCTGCACGCCCTGTTGGAGCCAAGTACAGAGACGAGGAGCGCAGGAGGAGGACGGAGGAGAGGAGGAGGATGGACGGAGGACAGGAGGAGGAAGACGAGGGGAGGAGGAGGAGGAGGATGAGGAGGAGGAGGAAGGAGGAGGAGGAGGAGGAGGAGGAGGAGGAGGAGCAAACGACACGCCCATTGGTGGGGAGCGCACGTCTGCCCTCGATCAGCGACGCTGCGCCACCGCACCGCCCACGAGGCAACGACCGGCAGCCTTACAAGGCACGCGCGCGGCCACGCCCCCCCCCGCCGCAGCGGGGGGTGGGGGCGGCCTGGTGGATCTTTTTAGAAATATCTCAGTAGGGGTAGAGGAGGAGGAGGAGAGAGGAGAGGAGGAGGAGGAGGAGGCGGAGGAGGAGAAGGAGGAGGAGGCGGAGGAGAGGACTGAGGACGCAGGAGGAGGAGGAGGAGGAGGAGGAGGAGGGGGAGGAGGAGGTAGGAGGAGGAGGAAGGAGGAGGAGTAGGGAGGAGGAGGACGGAAGGGGGGGAGGGGGGGGAGGGGGGAGGGGGGGGGGAAAGGAGGAGGAGGAAGAGGAGGAGTGCTACCCTCGGGGAGCTGCTAACCCGGGTCAGTGCAAAACCCTGGTCGGTCCGGCTTCGCAGGGTCCGGCAAGGTCCTGCAGGATCCTGCGCGCTGGCCCGGGTCAGCGCAACCCCGGCTTGGCAGGATCTTGCAAGATCCGGCGCTCTGGCTGACCTCCGTTTGCATTGACCCCCGCCTCGAGGCTCCCGAGCCCCGCTCGCGGGGGGCCGACCAGTAGCGCGCGCACGGGGAGCGCTGCAGGCGAAACAATTTTAAGTGCAGTCATCTTACTACTACTGGAAGGAGCGCCGAATAAGCGACGAAGGGGATTTTCTGGCCACGGCGAGCCTCGGCCACCAATAGTTTCCCCGACCCACATCTCAGGAGCGGCCCGAAAACCAAAGCCCCTCCAAAGTCCAAAACTATCCTTATTTCAACGTCTTGGCTGCGTGGCTTTTTTCTGGGCTCTGGTCAGCGGAGAGTAGATGGCTGCGGCTCCAACAGCTCGTGCTCCCGGCGCTGCCTGTGCTGCTTGCCCTACCACCCTCCCCCCCAGCCCGCCAAGCCATTCACCCCGCTCACAGGACCCCTGAACAATCATATT